TCTTTGTGGTGGTTTTGTGTATCTTCATGGTTGGTTAATGTCTATGTTTGATAATTTGTGCATCTCTGTGTGATTTTGTCTCGTCATGGTTGTTCTGAGGGATGTTTTTGTCGGCACAGGTGGACGTGAAGGCAACACAATCCTACAAAGGACAATAAAGATTACAACAACACCTTTAATTATGGACAAGCTGATTGAAAACTGACGATTTATGAGGCCAACATGAATAAAAAAAAGAAAACACAACAAGACAGAGTGAACCTGGTGATAAAACCTGTGAGACTGAATGTAGAACAGCTCAGACTTCAGGTTTTATTCCGGCTGGTGGACGTCGTTAACACTAAAAGCTTTAAAAGGTGCCATAAAAAATTAAAATCCACTTGCTGGAAACCGTAAAAGTGATTTAGAAAGCGCCGTAATGTGCTTCCTGCTCATGAGTCTGCAGTGAATCAGCGCTAAAGTCGTCCTGAGCCCAACATCAGACACCAGAGCCGGCGTTCTGATCGGAGCTGTGACGCTTATTAAAGCGTCCAGGTTTCTGCCCTGAAGTCTGACGAGAGGAACGAACGCTAACTCTGAGACCAGCGGGACGATAATCTGGATCTGTTTGGGTCGACCGCTGCAAAATGTTCCAGAAAAAGACAAAACAAGCAAAAAAATAAGCTGAAAAATAACTCCAGGTTCAATGAAGTCACCACAGAGAGGCTCAACACGGCGACAAAGACCGAAAACGAACACAAACAGACTCGAGACAATTAGAAAGAGACACAAAACAACTCTACAATCACACAAAATGAGCACAGACTCCTGGTTCTGCTCCTGGTCCTGGTCCTGGTTCTGTTCCTGGTTCTGGACGGTAACTCTCCGTCTCTCTGGATCAGGGTCGTCGGTTCCGGCTCCGGCGGCTCCAGACGAGCCTCTGAGAACCAAACGTCAGGCGATCTCAGCAGAACCGTCGGCTCTGGACCCGTCCCAGCTGACCGACGTCACGCTGACCAGCTACTGCAAGAGCAAAGAGTGAGGAAATACACGGCGCCCTTTCACAATAAAAGTCCTCTCACATAGTGCAGATCAAGACTTTAGTGAGTTAATTATAGTTTGTTTAATTTAAAGTTAACAAAACTGTGAAATACGTTAAAATATGGTTCAGATATGGTTCAAACTGAGAAAATAGCAGCAAACATCTACAAAATATTCATGTTCTCTAGGTTTAAAAACAGTCAATAGTCTGGTTCTGGTCCGTGTTAGAACCAGAACCAGAACCAGAATAAATGCGACTGTTTTAATCTTTGGCTCCAGGTTTTCAGTCTGAGCGTCTTTAACGTGTCGGTGCTTCTGCAGGTCCAGTGAACTGATCCAACGAGCTCTGATGGACAACGACTTCATGAAGCACCTGGAGCACGGACAGGTAACGTCTGGACTCATCCTCACGCTCAGCTTCCTGTTGTCCTCATAACCGCTGGTCCCACCGTCCACAGATCCTCACCATCATGGACTGCATGCGTCCCACCAGCCTGACCAAAGGCTGCTGCGTGATCCAGGAGGGCGACGACGGGTCCACGGTCTACGTCCTGGAGGGTAAGCATCCGGAACCAGAACCTGGGCTTTTATTCTGAAAGTACACCTGAACAGAGATCATCGTGGTTCAACCTGAAAACGATGAATCCACTGTGAGATCAAACAGGAAAGCAGAAAATTAAAAGCTTTCTTGAGCTTCTTTCCTGCAGCGTTGTCGTCCGTCGTGTTCATCAGGAGCAAAACTGGATAAAAAATTATAAAAACTGTAGAAAAAAACGATGGACATGTGGCGCAGAGGTGAAAAAAATGTGAAAATTGTTTTGGAAATGTATAACATAAAGAAATAATTATAATTATAATAATAAAATTAATAATAATTAATAAAGTTTTATTCTAATTCTAACGATATCTGTAAAATAATGACGTTTTTATGGATTTAAATGCAGTCAAACATTGTAAATATATATAATTACAGCTTTACCCTGTTTTTATACTTTTTTTTCAGTCTACATGTAAATGATCGTGTTTTTAAATGTATTCATTCATTTATTTTTACGTCTTTTACCTGAAACTCGCCACCAGATTGTTTTACATGAAACAAGCTGCAGACTGGTGACAGTTTTTATTTTGTATATTTATTTCTCTGCATTTTCATGGACATAAATATAATAATATTACATTAAATATCTAAATATGTGTCATTTATAACGGCTCATTTATGTAGATATTGTCATGTGATGTGTAGAAGCTTTAGCTGGTTTCTCACTGACCAGGACTCTGTGCTCTCAGAGGGGATGGTGGAAGTGACCAAACAGGGCAAGAAGCTCTGCAGCATCGGTCCGGGGAAGGTGTTCGGAGAGCTGGCCATCCTGTACAACTGCACCAGGACGGCCACGGTCACAGGTCAGCACGCCTCTGTCACCGCAAAACCACAAAACCAGATTAAAGTTATTAAATGAGAGACAAACTGAAGTCGAACGCAAACGTCGTCTTCATGGCTCAGGGTCTCAGCTCCAGTGGAGGAGCTTTAATCAAAGGTTCCTTCATCCAAACGCACCCAAAAAAAAACATCCTTTAGAACTTTATAGGAAGAAGTTGTTGTGTCTTTGTCTGTTGTTGTTTTGTTTTTGTTTTTTTCAGAATCAGAATCTCTTTATTGTCATTGTACAAAGAAAGTACAAGGAAATTTGACATGGCAGCATTTGATCAGAAATATCTCAAACTAAATAAAATATCCATCATCTCGTGCAATACTTTTAAAATCTTTTATTTCTTTTTATATATTTATTTCTTTTAAAAAAAAAATCTTTTATATTTTACTGAGGGGGCTGCAGGTGTCTCAGTGTTTAGCACTGTTGCCTCACAGCTAGAAGGTCGCCGGTTGGCGTCCCGGTGAGAACACCTGGGATCTTCCTGCGTGGAGTCTCCATGTTCTCCCCGTGCAGCGTGGGTTCTCTCCGGGTTCTCCGGCTTCCTCCCACAGTCCAGAAACATGCTGAGGTTAATTGGTGATTGTAAATTGTCCGTAGGTGTGAATGTGAGTGTGCTTGGTTGTCTGTCTCTAAGTGTAGCCCTGTGATAGACTGGTTACCTGTCCAGGTGAACCTGCCTTCACCCTGAGTCAGCTGGGATAGACTCCGCCCCCCATGACCCTGGTGAGGATTAAGATGTAGAGATGATGGATGGAATTTTACACTTTATTTTGTTTTTACTTGCACTGAAAATAGGAGAAGCTCACTGTACGCTGTATAATGACAATAAAGGGCATTCATTCATTCATTCATTCATTCATTCATTCAAATTGTGCCGTGGGCGATCTCGAGGTCTAGAGCCTTCAGACAACTCGCCGTACAGTCGATCTTTAGGTATTCAGCGTATGTGGCCCAGTCAGTGAAGACGTTGCAGGACGCTCAGGAGCGTGAAGATGGATGGAAGTCCTGTGCACTCGAGCACATCGGTGTTTGGGATCTTATCTTACCAACTGATGCTGAGGATGGGTCTGAGGCAGCAAAGACAGAAGCTGCTGAGTCTGTTCTCCTGAGCGGAGCTGGTGTCCACGTTTAGCTGGAGCAGAGAAGTGAAGCTCTGCACACCTGCACTGTGGTTCTAACTGTGAGGCTGCTGTCTGACCACAGTCTGGTGTGAAGCTTGGACGTGATTGCTGAGGCCGTTCCTATTCTTGTGCTGATCTCTGGTTCGAGTGAGAGATTCGAGCTGATTATGGACCCAAGGTACTGGAGCTGGAGGTAGTTGAGCTGGTGGCTTCTGAGACAGATGTGGTCGGTGCCTCGTCCCATCACGTCCGTCTTCTTTATGCTGATGCTGAGACCGAACTCATCGCAGGCTTCAGCAAAAACATCAGTCAGTCTCTATAAAACGAGATTTGTTCTGATGATTTATGCAGACAAACAGAGACCACAGGGTTAGAGGTTCCCTTTCCATCGGCTTTCCTTCAGCTGCCTGCTGCACGTCGGTCACTTTGCTGCCTGACAGCTGACAGATCGGGGGTGTTTTTCTGGTTAAAACCTTTTTCCCTCTGCGGCTCCCATCCTCGGCCATGTGAGGTATTTAAATAAAGAGTCCCATTTATCTTTAAACAAGGCCCTCGCTCACCTGTTCTGCTCTGGAGCTTTCAGTCCTCGTCCTTGTGTTGTTCAATGTCATTCGAGCGAAATGAAAAGAGGAGGAAGGAGGAAGGAGGACGTTTGTACAGAAATCAGGCCCGACTGAGTGATTGGAAGGTTTAGTTCAGAACAAAGAGAAGCGAGGACGCGAGTAAAAGAGAGAAAGCCGTCAAGGTAACAGTGATAACTAGATGGAGGTTAACGCCGACGGTTTCTCTGCTCCTTCAGTCTGCTTTTATTTTTAGTGTTAAAAGCTGAACCAACGCTAACGTTACATGATGCATGAATTAAAAGAATCCCATCAAAGCCCATTAGTTGTGTTTCCACGTAACCACAAAGTGTCGCAAAACATTTTAAAAACACAAAAATTCAAGCCTCACCTCCGTGAACTGCTTTGGTGCAAATGAACTAGATTGTGTCGCCAGGAGGTGGCGCTGTCGGCTACGCTAGCTGTAATGAACAGAAGAAAAAACGTTTTTTGCGAATCACTGAAAATCTCAAAGAAGAAATTTGTCCATCGACAGAGAAGAAAGAAAAGTTTAAGGATATTGTTTAAGGTCGGAAAAGGTGCGATTATTTTATCACGTCAGCTGGTGGCGGCCATGTTTAACGTCATCTGGATGTCGTAGACTTCAATACTCGCTACGTCAAAACATTTTAAGAATATTTCTAACATTTTCTTTTGTGATACTTCAAAATGTACCGTAATGTCCCGACTATAGGCCGCTACGTTGAACGCTGCAGCTTACACAATGATGCGGCTAATTTATGGATTTTTACGAAGCGACGTTCAGAGGGATGACGACAGAGAGACTGAGGAAGTGATGAAGTGATTCTGAGGCTGAAGAAGACGACTTTAGTGGTTTTAGTGCAGGAGGAAGATGAAGATAGCCATCAGTGACTTTTCCTGGTAGCTGCTGGAGTTTTATTTCCTGAACCAGCCGTGTTACAGGAAGTGTTCAGAAAAAAGCCTCTACGGTACGTATCTGTGTATGTTACCGCTACGCATTTAATTAAAGGTTAAAACATCTTTCTGTGTGAATATCTCATGTTCCAACGTGGACACCTGCAGCTTAGAGACACCTGCAGAGTTAGAGGGTGGAGCTTATATTCAGGTGCTCAATAGTCCAGAATTTACGGTACATACGGTTCTGGGTTGTAAACTGCAATCAGTGGATCCAGATTAGGTTCTAATTCCCATCCGACTGAAATGATGCAAAAACACAGGTAAACATCTTGCAGCTGAAGGTACGTCAGAGACTGATTGACAGTTATACAAAACACCTACAGGAAGTAAATTCCACCAAGAGGTGCATTTACCTTTTCTGTCACACTCACTGGTATTCCTGCTGACTAAATGACTAAATGACTGAACACACTCATTATCTTCGGCGTTGTTGTTCCACCTTCATCTGTTTCAAAGACGACCAGATGTGTGTCTCATAGTTTAATGGTATCAGCTGGACCTGCTTGAGTTCCTTGAAGACGTTCCACCTTCATCCAAGAGGCTTCATCAGCTCTGACTGACTAGTTGGGAGTTCCACATCCTGATATCCTGAAGGAGACATTAACACCTGAGTTTGGGTTTCAATTGGGGGGTTGTAGCTCCTCCCCCTCGTTATGTGGGTCGTTAGTGCTCCCCCTGATAAGGTGGGGTTGGTTAGGGTCTCTGTGGCTCGGTGTGGATGTGGGTTCATCTTCCTGGGGAGAGATCTGAGTCCCGAGAGGTGAAGCCTCAGACCTCCACCTCTGCTGAGGGATGGACTTTACAGTTAGACGGCTTCTTTCACTCCTCTCTCAGACCATCTGTCCTCCCTGCAGGACAAAACAGTTTAAATACGACCAAAACCCGACAGCGTTTACGTGATTTAGGTGTTTTTCTAAACGTGCAGGTCCTCCATCGTCACTGTAGGTATGTAGGAGTGTTGAACTGTGAACTGAAGCTGCTGCAGAAAACAAAAAGCTCGCTCAGGATTCAGGCTGTTCTGTGGGTAAGTGGGTCCATTCAGTATGCTAATGAAGCCGGAGCCGTGTGGGGGGAGGCGGACCGGGTTTACAGCGCCGTAATGGGCTCACAAAGTGGAAGAGCGTCGGATGTGGGAAGATGTGATGCTTGACGTTGCCGTGGCAACGCGGAGGCAGGCCAGTCAGCCGTCGCTGGTGGCGCTGGTTGGTCCGTTACGAGCCGTGGGTCCCACTTAGCGGGACGTGATGGAGCCTCTGAAGGCGTCTTAACAGATGGAGGTTCACACGTCGAGCGTTTCCACCAGCAGACTGCTGTTAGCGAGCGCTAACCGCCGTCTCTGAGAGGACCAGACTCACTTCTGTGATTTACACCTGATTAACATGCAGTCTGTGTCCGGGGACGACATCTGATCCGTTATCTCCTGACCCAATATCAGGATGCAAATTAGTCAGACGGGCTGAGCCGGCTTGTCAACAAACATGAAGTGTTCACCTCTAAATGTGATCTGAGTGAATGATGACACCCAGAGACAGATGACGAGGAGACACCAGGTGGAACCAGAACAACTTCAGACTGAAGGTTCAGACTTAAAGTTCTAATGTGTAATATTTACACATTCTCATGTTAGAAATCTGATTAAAGTTCCTCCAGAACCTCCTCAGAACCAGGACCTGGAACTCTGGAACATTCACAGTCTGGAGGTAGAACTCTGGTCAGTAGATAAAGGTTCTGCAGAATCAGAACCAGATGTTCTGAGGAGGTTCTGGAGGGAACTGTAATGGGATTTATTTAATTTTTATATGAAATGTTTTCTTCCTACTGTCACACTGATCGTCTCTCTCAGCCTTCAGCAGAACAAATAACCACAATAATTAAACAGGTTTCTGTTTTCTAACATGTTGTCATTTAGTTCCTGTTAAAACCAGGTTTGTTTCTCACTGGGACGTTTAAACACTTATTCTTGGAGAGGCAGCATTTATCTTCATCTGTTATCGGCTTATTGTTAAACTTCCACGTCTAGTGTCTGACTGGCAGCAGCCGTCACCTCCAGTCGTCTCTCTTCACGTCTCTGCTGCCTTCAGCGTCTCATCATCTCTGTTCCATCCGCCGTCCTTGTTCTTCCACTTGTTTTCCTCTCAGTCTGTGTTATCTACCTGATCTGCAGCTCAGACTACTTCAGGGTAAATTGAGACAACAGAAGAAAACATGCGTCTGTTTTAATCAGGACTAAGTTCCATTTTCTCTCAGTCTGCTTTCGTATCAGAGCTTTGATTGATGCAGTCGTTTCATTTAGTCGGTGCAGAGAGTAAACACGAGGTCAGCCCATATTTATATGCAAATGTCGCCGCCGTCCACGAGGATGATCCGGCAACCAAAATGAAAACGTGTCCTTGTTCCTGTTTCGATGATCCTCCACATAATCAGGACCTCGGCCTCACTGGCACTGATGTTTTCATTTAATTTGGCTTTTCTGACAAGAATTTACAAACAAACAGACTCAAAGTGAAAAACAGATT